AGAAGCGCACAAAGAGGATCAATCGAAACCATTATGATACAGCACTGACTGGGCCCAACTTCTTGTTGCGTGCCGCAACAGCGACCACGGCAATGAACAGAACTCGACAATATCCGGACCAAAAGTAACCTGATATTGAGTGTGACGCAGCTGGAATCGAGTCACAACGCGAGCTTCAAAGCTTTCGTGTCTCCAGCAACATGCTACCCACATTCATGAAGGCGGACTACTGGTCGAAGAGATGGCGTATTGATACAGCCGTGGGAGATTGCCGTCATCAGTGCCGTGACCATAGAGACTATTGAATTTATATTTTTTTTTATGTATGTTACTTTATAAGGTATTTATAAGATGGGCCATGAAGCCAGCATTATATAAAATAAAATAAAAAAGAACCGTTAAATGTTTAAGAAATTGGTCATTCTGTACGACCGTATGTGTCTAATGGGACAATGCACGATCGATGGCAGCCGTGAATATTTAAACGACAACTGTTTGGAGCTGAGACAGTCCCGTCCAAGGATAAAAACCGTTACAAGCAGCGTTATTGCTTTGTTTATCCACTTTCTTTATTATTATCAACGTGGAAGGAAATGGGCCCTTATTACAACTACTGAAGGTCAAGATCAAGTTGTCACAATGTAGGTACCTATTACTTTATGTAATAGACATTTCCCATCTGTACTAATATTATGTTGAGGTGAAATTGCTTTGTTTGTTTGTTTGTACGAATAATGTCTGTAACAACTGTAGCATTTCTAAAAAATATTTCGCTACATTGCCCTTGAAATAAACTGTATTTTCCACGCGAATGGAACCTAACGAAAATTCATGTCGTCAATGAAATTAAAATAATGTTGTTATATTTATAAGAAACAATATTTTTTGAAAAAATCTCCAATTAATTCTCTTTGAGGTTTATTTTTGTCAGCTTTCTTTAGCCTACACATTGATATATGTAAAAAATCATACGAAATCTTCCAACCATTTTTTGTATTAAACCTCTAAACTCACAAATATAGTTATGAGAAACCCTTGTAAATAGTTCCTATTTGAATTTACTAATTATAGCAATAATCAATGAGATTCTGACCATTCTGCTATTGATAGTTTTTTGTACTACGAAGTTAGATGCAAAAACAAAATAATATTCTTAACGTTACAGTTGATACCTGTATAGATTTTTTGTAATCGTTTCCCACATATGTGGTACCAAACTATATTCACAAAACCGCAACTCCACCTTAGTGGTGGAGGGAAAACTTCAACAAAACTAATTAAACAAGACATTATTCTGTGTAACATGTAATAGATGCAAGCAATGTTTACCATATACAGTGGGTCTTGTAATTGAGTACACAAAACTTAATTTAGAAATTATCTTCACGAGTAGGTCTATAATCAGATTACATTAGTTACATTGTACAATAGTAACTGTGCCTTCCACTAAAGAAATCGAATAAAAAATATAAATTCTTATAGGACCTTTTGGCCTCTCGTGAATGTCATATTTTTATCACTAACCCATTTCGGCTAGCTATTTGAGAAGAACTGGCAAGAAACTCATCTGGTATATTTTTATGGCTTTTTAGACCGTTTCAATCTCTAAATATTACATAGCATTTAAGTAGTGAATACGTCTAATATATTTAAAATCTCTTCTAAAATATTACAAAATTGCGATACGTTCTTGTAATTTTTATTATGATATTTGACAATAATATATAAAAAACATACTTTAAAGAGTATGAAGGTGCAATGAGCGGTCTTATCGCTTAAAATAGCGAGAAGAAAAGACGGAAAAAGGAAAGAGAAACAGGTTAGAGGTAAAGAGGAGGCGCATAAATAGAATGAAAAAAATATATGTTGGTAAATATTAATAATATATATCAAACATATACATATATTATAAATTTATACATAATAGACGTACATAACATAAAATTAAATAAATATCTATAATTACAAAGTCTATGTCATGTACAATTAAGAAAGAGACAATTAGGTATCTAGTATTTTTTTGGCACAAAACATCTTTTCTACCTGCCCGACTATCTCTTCTTTTAATTGATAAAAAACATGATACACTCGTATCTTGTAAACTTACTGTATATATCTACATAAACAACACTCTGACAATTTATCAGCTTGATTTTAATCATGTACAAATAAACCAGCTTCAGCGCCAATTTTCTCCCGCAAAATTGTCCGCAATTCACATCAAAGACAATATTTGAATAAAACGACAGTCATTTCACCTAAAAGTATATGCTCTCTCATTTCATATTCATTAGTAGCAATATCATCCCGCCTGAACATCAAATACGCAATCATGAAAATATCAACGAAATGTTTTCTTAACTCGATGACATTATCATTTAGGGGTTTTTTGCGGCAAATATCCATTTATGTAAGTGAAAGCTGTCTCCACTAATTTGTGGAGTGAGGCGCTGATAATTTTCTCATTCACTTTTAATATTACAGCGATTTTGGTTGGGACAGTAATATTTGGGTTGTTCTGTTGGAAAAGATTCTTATTAGATAAATTAAACTTCAAAACTCATGAGCATTGTGAGATCCAGCTGATGATGAGGTATAACCCTGAGGTATGAAACCCTGTGATGGCTAATGTGTATGTTTTTGTTCATAAGATACGCAAATACATCTCAGATCTTTCTAAAGAAATTTCCTAAACTTAAGTTTAATTCCTATATTTTTTCCTGCCTGTCACATTTACTACCTCCTATGAATCAATTTATAGTAGGTTTTAGGATTTGTGGTATCCGGTAATAAGTTGTTAATGTAGACACAAGCATCGACGATTAACGACATTATCCACTTTAATATCATGGTTGCGATGGTTCTAAAACCTGACAGTATGCTGCCTTATTCTTATACTTGAAATGTTTGGACATTTGAAAGTTTTGGCTCTCATTTTGCGAATTACTGAAACTTTTGGCGTCAGATTTGTCACAGATATTTCTATATATACATATATTACATTTTATAAAGTCGGTTGAAGACGTAGCAAATTAAGCAAGAGTGAATATATTTAATTTTACAAACTGTGTGGGCGTTATGGCGTTCGCTCGTATACTTGTATGTTGTTCTTAACTTTAATGAAAACCGTTATTATTTCAAATATTATTTTAACCATTTCGAGAGATCACTTTACATTACATTATACTTATGAGAACATATCCTAAAACAAACATTTGTATATTAATACAATTGTAATATCTACGCATTTGATTTATGACCTTGGATCCTTCATCAGTTCAGTTTGTTTCTATAATTGTCTTACTATATGACAATGTACTACTAGCATCCACCGTTACCACAGAGTCCTGAGATTATTATTATTATTACTTCCAACAACGCCATCAACAGAAACCCAATTATCGACTCTGAACGCAACAACAAACAGATCCCTTTTTAGAAATTCAGCAGATAGTTGTTACGGGGCGGCAGCAGCAACGATATACGAATACTATGAACTTCTTTTATTTATATGTAGTTCTTTACTTTTCCTTCAAGCGTTTAAACCGAACTGAACTGTGCACACAATATCGAAACTTATATCTTGTACTCAAAAATAAATATGATCATATCAAACTTTTAGAACATACTTTTTATATCATAATTATATTTGGATTTAATCTTTACTATTTATATATTTACTTCATGCTTCTAGGTACAAATCACATTATTAATTAAATAAAAATATGTTGTGGTCATGACATTCTGATACTAGATGACGTTGTAATTACTTAAATCTGCTATAGCGTGGCACGGTGGCGAATTCAAACGTAGTATAAATGTTAATTTATACTACGTTTGAATTCGCCACCGTGTGTACCGTAATTTATACTACGTTGTTTATAAACAACGATTTATTTCTTTATTCTTTTGCACACAAAATTGTATACGTAGCCGACTTAATGCCTGATAGCATTCTCTACCAGTCAACCGGTATCCCATACACGTGGAAACAAAAGAAAAATATATTTAGCCAATAATACACCCACGGTACAAATTAACAGCTCGCTTGACACATCCATTTTCTCACAGTAAAAACATTTGTCAGGAGCTGTCTCGAAGCATCCGAAGGCAACAAAAACATTTTCCTTCTATATGTCACTGTGGTATCTACGACACATGACAGATATCGGCTGATATGAAATTGAAGTGTATCTTTTATTGATTCGTATCTAAGTATAAATAAATAACCCTGGACAATTCACGGCGCCTTCTGGTCTCGATCTAATAAGAATAGCTACTAGGTATACTAGATAACTAATAGATATACGTAAATATCTTTTATTCTAAGCTAGAGACATTATTTTTTATTAATAATTAGAATGGGAATAATGTTTAGATTCGCTTCAAATCCGCATAATATCATGTCATCTAGCCATTATGAAACCTTAATTGACAAACACACAAACTGTCATATTTCGCATAGTTACTATTTATATGGAAAAAAGATTATTTTCATTTTCGTTCAATGGTTCTTTTTGATGTCGGCCAGAATGTCTACGTAAATCAGTACGTTGGAACATACAAAAGCCGACCATTCCTCGATTCTTAAAAGATGTCTGAAGACGTTTACAAAGACTTCTTTATAGAACTCTTTTAATCTCGAAGAAACGACTACGAGAATAGTATAGTGGGTTTGAATACTTATGAAAGTCATGCATCAAACCATCTTAACAAATTTTGATAAAAGTTTTATTTCTGTATATTCGACTGTCAAGACTTTTTACGACCAACTAATATGATACTAATACGCTAGTTATAGGGTATTATGCTGAATCTCAATGACGGCTGTTGCCGGTGTGACCGTTTTTGACGTAAATATAGAGATTACATTCAAAATAGAAAATAATATTTACTTTTGATTTTGTCTACAGGTGTTATGTTGAAGTAAGCAAAACGAGAAATGTGGTGCAACGCTCAACCCACTCACTACGAATCCACCAAGACCTTTTAAGCCGGCCATGACCTCCGAAGAACCTATAGATGTTGTCAACAAAAAAGCAGATGCAAAAAAAACAGATGACGGCACTAATTTCACAGAAGAAATACAAGAAAGCAGAAAAAAGAACGAAGAAGAAAAACAAAGGCGGTCACATGAATTAATGCGATTGGTGTATGAACTGCCAGAGGAAATAAGGAATCCAGGAATCAATGAAAATAACAATATGCTGAAAGAAAACCCACCTATTACGATCGTAGAGATCACAGAACAAAATGGTTGTGAGACAGAATTAGAAAGTGCCAGGGAATGTGATAACGAAGTTTACCTTAAAGTTACTGATGGGGATAGTACAGAAGATTTAGGAAATAAGGTCGTACTCGATGTGTTAGCAACTAATGAATTAATAATGCAATGTGCAGATGAATATAAAGAAATTATTGATAGGTCATCACCTGATGACTGTACGGATGAAGAATTGTCCGAGTTGAAAAAGATTCTAGAATGTAAACCTAAAGTACTGGAAAGGTATATAAGAGAATGTGCATCTTCTGATGAAGTAAATAGACTACATAATCTAACATCATCAGGACCTTTATCGCCAAGACCGCGTCACGAAGCCCGAAGTACATCTATGACATCAGACCTAATCCAGCTATGGTTAGCGTCGTCCCCAGTTAAGGTAAGTGAGAATAAGGCTTCATTTGATATACAATGTTAATTTTATGTGGTCAACAAACGAATAGTCTCATCGCGTATTGTAATATTTGAATAATTAATTACATTTTATTGATTCAATATGAATATAACTTCACGACTGTTTTCCCAGATGGTATAGTCAAAGACATTATGAACTATCGAAGTTATAGTGAACGTGTAATGACAGGTACGATCACTTTGTTTTTATCGATATTTTTATATATCTAAAAGTATATACAAGGATTTCTAATGAATAATAGAATTTGAACTTTCGACGTTTGTTATCTAGATTTGGATTACAACACTCTCAAACCTTTTGAATGTTTTGCAAAATCGTTATCATCATAATATTAACACACGTTATTCCGTAACTTTATACTTTGTTTGCCGACAATGTTGCCGGTAAAGTAATATCCGATAAAAGAACAAAACAATAGATTGACAAGGAAATAACAATACACTCTTTATGTAACCGAAACTATAAGAGGGTCTATTATTATATCAGCACTGACGTACATGTTATCTGCTGCAAAACCTTACAATGTTACTTAGGAAAAACAGCATATCTATGATATAAGGTATAGTACCGCCTAGATTAATAAGTTCAATATGTATGTGAATTAATTAATTTTATAACAGTATTTATTAGGCAGTTTAATATTGATTAGTCTCAATTTAATATTTTATTCTATGAAAAACCCGATTTCAATAGAAAAAATGATGGCTTTTATTAAGAGTAACAAAAATATTTTTCAGTGAAACTTGACCTTTCGCTATTTATATTTTTATAATATTATTGTAATTAAAAGAAATCATTGCATATTAGTCAGTTATTGAAGTCGCTGGCGGAAGACCCAAAAAAAACCAATTTTTATAAGCAAACTAAATTTAATTCTAAAAATTAATTATTACAATTATATAGGTGTCTTCGGATCGATGTGTGATCCGTAAGTGCAATTATATAAAATTAAAAATCAGGGAAATGGGTATTATTGCTGTGGGGACTAAAATGCTGATTCGACGCAGGTGGTTTTCTCGGTAGCGCACCTTCTTGCGTCATGCTTGGTGGTCCGATCCGATCGCCGTTGAGGATGTGTCGTAATACTTGCTAGGTATCTACTATAACACCTCCCCGTTCAGATTAGCAATTATTTTTGAAGCTTCAGCTGAGAGAATATTGCGGACTGTGGCATCTCGGTACTGGTAGGGGTTTCAGTTTCAGGGGGCAGTTCTTCAGGTGTACCTTGATTAGTCTTATATTTCCATACTGTAATTATTATAAGACAGCCCAATATAATGATGTAAAGTGGAATCGTAGTATGAAATAGGAACGATTTTGAGGTTTGCTCGTGTGTAGGATGCTGCAAGATCACCTTGTGCTGAATTTCATGAAGTCTTGTAAGGTCTATTGATTTAAGATTTACATGAGGTATTTTATGGTCATGGAGTTGCATATTCTGGGAGAATTGCAGTATCTTCATAGGTTGTCCTTCCACTCTATTATTAATGTTAGTTATGGTGAATTCCGGGGTATAAAGAAAGCAGTTTACTGGGATTGTTGCGAGATAACTTCCATTCAGAATACTGTAAGTTTCTTTTCCACATAGTGTATGAATTGTAGTAGCATTGGGGAATGATATTATATAGTGTCTCTCATCTAGCTCTTCCATAGCCACTTTAGATAGGTTAACTGTTGCTACTTCGCAGACTGGGTCGGTAGATTGCTTGAATATAAGATTCTGTATGCAGTCAGGATGCTGTCGAAGTTGATGATCCATCTTATCTCCGCAGACATACCAATTTTCATACTTCGGGCATTCTGCCTCTATATACACATAACCTTTCCTGTTAGTTGCAATCAATGGATAAGGAGGAATGAGGACCTGCTTATATTTATTGGGAGCTACAGCCAACTTGTATAAATCGTAACTATCTGAGGAAAATATGGGTATTTTAAAACTAATAACTATCTGATTATCTGAATAATAGAAACCTGGCTTAATTATATCGTAGTATACCCTAAGTTCTAAGTTTAATATTCTATCCTTACCATAAATCTTAACTAACTTCTGGACCATTTTGTTTAAAGTATCGATTTTAATCATAGAATGATGCATAGAAGAAGCGCGAATGAAAGCTAGTATATTTTCGATTCTAAATAGTTCATTTAATACGTCGTCTATATTTTCAGTTATAATTGCTAAGTATTGAGCGAATTTAGCGTATTTTATTAGGTCGTTATCTGAGTGAGCATCGTTATCGTATAACAGCTGCAAAGTCTCGTTAATTTTTACCTGATTTTCAACTAATTTATTAACTATATCCGTATGTTGAGCCATCCACTCCTTACTGAGGCTGATATGACTTTCAAGCTCATGATTTACTTTTATGTCATTACTTTGGAGAATTTTGATAGCATTGTCATATTTAATAGCGTCAGATTGATCTAGGTTTCCCGTGATACTTTTTATTATAGAGCCTATACCATCGACGAGACCTCTCCGTACACGCTTTGGCTGTAATGTATCTAACTGATCTTTAACCTTACATAATTTATTAGATAAATATTCTATTTGAAGTTCGTATAGTATGTATGTATCATTGGTTAACATAATTTTATAATCTAATAGCTGGTTTTGTACTAATTCTAACGTATTACTAATATTATCTAATTGTACGTGCTGTAGAAAGGTATGGTAATGGGTTATAAGCCTTGTTGTTCCAAGTCGGAATGGTAGCAGTCCAGGACCATCATCGAGACTCTCAAGTGTTATCTCCTGATTGATCTCTTGAGGAGTTATCAAAGGAGCAACCAGGATCAGAAGCACCCTGTAACAATTGGGCACTTTTAGGGGTTCTCTTTAATCTGCGTTTTGCGACGGGTCCCTTTTTCTTTGAGGTATATATATGTATAGGAAGATCGGCAAGAACTGTATCCTGACTATATCTAGGGGCTATTTTCTGACGGCTAGCTAATGGGTTACTAATATATACAGTTTGTTGAGGTTGATATTCAAGTTCTGGCTCTCTATTTTTATTACGATTTTCCATTATACGGGTGCGGCTTTCCAGCGATGCCTCTCCTATTGTGTCGTAAACTAACTGCATTCTTTCTCTATGATTTTGTATATACTGTTGAAATAGGTGCCTACTTATATCCATGTCGAGAGGATCTCGGGGATCTAAATGGCCTGTTATAATATCATAAGGTCTGCATTTTGTAAAAGAATGTATAGAACTATTATAGGCTAAAATAGCATACGGAACTAGATTAACTACGTCCTCGTCGTTATGTTTTAATTTGAGGATACGTAAATGTTCTAATAAAGTACTATGGAATCTCTCTACTATTCCATTATCATTTGGGGAATGCGGTAAAATCTTATGATGATTTATTTTATGCAAAACAGTAAATTCATTAAATAACATATTTGTAAATTCTGTGCCGTTATCAGATACTATCGATAACGGTAGACCATGGTGTGTGCAGAATTTTAAAAGGGCTTGTAATATACTAATAGCTGTGCTATCCCGTATGTGGTATGCCTGTGCATATTTAGAAAACACATCTACGATAGTTAAATATTTTTCATGATTTATGGTGAATAGGTCTATATGTACTACTTCAAAGGGCTTTGTAGCAGGTGGAACTATACGGAATTGTGGTCGTATAGGATTGCGATCGTATTTGGCTTGACCACAAATGGCACAATCATTAATTATTTTTGTTACTTGGTCCTTCATTTTAGGCCAGTAGTAACGTCTTGATAGAGCTAAGTAGCATTCATTAATGCCGCGGTGATTAGTTTTCCCTTCATGATAATTTTTAATTATATCCTGTTGTCTTAAATATTCTTTTACATTCTCAACTTCAGACGTAGTCAATACAAGTTGCATCGCAGAGCTTTTAAACTTATTTTGAATAATTGGTACTATATCATACATTGCTAAACGTGGGTTAATAAATAGTGCGGTTTTAATTTTAGGATTAACATATTCTTTCATAATTTCTACGATATCGCTTTCTAAATTTGTCTCGGATACTTGAGCAGATATCCTTGTGTGTGTTTCAAAAGGCTTCGATGTGGTAGCACGCTTTCTGATGTCACTAACTACGGTAATGACGAGCTGTCTATGAAATTTATTCAGTGGTTGGTCAACTATTGGAATCTCTAATATTGGGTTTTCTCTACTAGTATGAGCAGATAGAGTGGATGAATTTGAAAGAGGGCGTTCAGATGGGTTGACAACCAGTGAATTAGCTTCCTCGTTGTGAATTTCAATACGAGAAAGGGCGTCGGCGTTAGTATTGTTTCGTCCCTTTTTGTAAACTACTGAAAAATCGAACTCGGATAATTTTAGCTTCCAACGAATTATTCTCGAGTTCGGTTCCTTCAAACTCATTACCCATTGGAGGGGTTTATGGTCCGTGATAATTTTGAATTTACGACCAAATAGATACGGCCTAAAATATTTAGTCGCCCAGACAATAGCAAGAAGCTCCTTTTCAATCGTACTATAGTTGGCTTCACTGTCATTAAGGGTACGCGATGCAAAGCAAATGGGTTTGTCTGAACCTAATGTACCCTGGGACAATATCGCGCCTAAAGCTACATTAGATGCATCAGTCGTTAAAATGAAGTCTCTTGCAAAATCCGGGTACTGTAAAATCGGATCGTTAGTTAAGAGAGTTTTACACTTCTCGAAACAACTAACATATTCTGAATTAACTGTTACCTTCCTACCTTTTTTCAGACATGTCGTTAATGGTTTAGTAATAGTAGCGAAATCGGGAATAAACTTTCTGTAATATCCAACCAAACCAAGAAATTGTTTGATTTCTTTCGGTGTTTTTGGAAGAGGATAGTTCTGAATAGCTGTAATTTTGTCGGGGTTTGGTTTAATTCCATCCTTGGTGATTATATGCCCTAAGTCAGCGGTTTCAAGCTTGAGAAATTCGGATTTATCCATCTGGATTTTAAAATTCGATTCTCGTAGTTTTTGAAATACCTTCTCAAGATTGATCATGTGTTCCTGGAGAGAGGTACTGAATACAATGATATCGTCTAAATATACTAAGCATACAACGTTTTGAAGGTCCTTAAGAACATTGTCCATTACCCGTTGGAAGGTAGATGGGGAATTTTTTAAACCCATGGGCATGCGTAAAAATTCATAATGTCCGTTCTCAACGTTGAATGCTGTTTTAGCAATATCACTGGGTTCCATCTCGACCTGATAAAACCCACTGGCAAGATCTAAAGTAGAGAAGTATTGACAGTTTCCGAGTTTATCTAGAACATCTGTAATATTAGGAATAGGGTACTTATCGTCATATGTTTTTTCGTTTAATTTTCTGAAGTCTACTACTAATCGCCATTTAGTTTTACCCGAAGCGTCAGCCTTTTTGGGTACGACCCAAATAGGTGAGCTCCATGCAGATTCTGATGGTTGGATAATACCCTGATCTAACATCTTGCCTATCTGATCTCTAACTTCATCCCTATGTACGTATGGGTACCGGTAATTCTTTCCGTGCACTGGTATTTCGTCCGTAGTCCTAATTTTATGTTTAACTTTATTCGTAAAAGTTAATGATTCTCCGTCAATATAAAACACATCCGCATATTTAGTACATAATGTTTCTAAGTTAGCGCGTTCCTCCGGATTTAAATGATCTGTGCGTAGTCGTGAGAGGACTTCTTGTACTCGCGAGGGTAACTGCTTAGTACGGAATGATTCCATGTTATATGTTTCAGCTTGAATAGCACGATCCATGGAAAATATTATATCATGATTTGTTGGGTTTGCAATTTCAACAAATCCGCGACTATTTTTTACTATAGTTACACAGTCACTAACGATACAATTAGAAAAAAATTGTTGCTTAATAAAAGCTTCACCGTCTTGTAAATTAATTGGAAGTCTTAGCAATTTCTTTGAATAAGCAGGAATAACATCCTCGTATAAATTAACGTTACAAGAATTATATAAATTAATGGGGATACTACTATTACGGGTTTTAAGTAATTTATTTTTAAGATCAATATTTGATTCTAGTTGTTCCAGTAAATCATATCCAATTAAACCATCAAAAGTTTTGTGAAATTTATAAATGAATAATTTCATTCCATCTGGCTCCCTAAACTCTTTAAAGTAAGGAATAGTAATAGAATAATTATGTCTAGACGTAGTATGGGCATTCGTTACTTCAAACGGTTCATAGTTTAAGTGAACATTATAGAAAAATCGGTCTACAGCTTCTGGAGATATGAATGATTGATTCGCTCCAGTGTCTATAAGGAATTTCATAGGTGGATTTGAAATTTGTATAAATGGTAATTGCCTTTGAGTGTGCATATTAATTTCTATTTTGATTTTTCTGATTTCCCCCGCTTGGGAAAATCCTGCTCCTCAATAGAACTTGTTGAAGGTTGAGGATCCGCAGGGTAAGTATGATCCTCATTCAAGTTATTAAAATCTTGGTCGTTATAATTAAAGTAATCCGTCTTATTTTCTAAATCATAATTATGTTCGAAATAATAGTTATCATAATCGTAGTATGGAGAAAAATCGGTATAGTAATAATAATCATTATAATTATAGTCAGGGGGCGTATTATGAACTCTTTAAAATCCAGTCAGTTTCCAGGCAGTTCAGTTTACGGCCTTAAACTGAATTGTTCTTTTTCGTATTATGAGGGTCCAAATTCAAACCGTATTCTGCCTGGATAGTTTGTCTCTGGCTGGTTAGTGGATTTTCTCGCGCTGCGTTCGGATACGCATACATTCGTTGCAACGTTAAGTTGAGTTTTTGTGTGTCACTTTTTGGACAAAATATTAATTAAATAAATGTAAATTAAATATAGAAAACAGTAATTAAGATACAATGGTAGAATTTGTGTAATATACAAAAATATTCCAGACAGTTTTATTGTCTTTTTTAATAATTCGGATTTATTTGTAAAAAATATTTTCATTGTAATATCCAAACGAACTTTGTGCATCTACTTAAAATTCCGCGCAAAGTACTTAATTCTGATTTTAATGTACAATTTGAAACTTAGCCTTTCCATGACTTTATACGCAAGTTAAATTTAATAATTCAATTATTGTGAAAAATATACCTAATGTAACGTAAGTATTCCTAACATTTTCTTAGTAATGTTTTTTTTAAATGATGCAAATATTTAACTGTTTATATTTGTATATTTATCTAACTAAATTGTAGATCACGGACTGAAACCCCTGGCCAACGTCGTGTATCGTACCGGTAATTTAAAATTATATGGGATTTTTAAAATCCCATAGGGAAATGGCAAGTGGCTTTAATAAGTCCGCCCAAGAATACCATACCAATCGCTTGTGTGAGGACGTCGCTCAACAATTAAACTCCTTAGGAAAAGGGGGGTTTTAAAGACTGGAAAGGATTGTCAAGTTTAAGTGTTATAAGGTAACCATCTGAATTTTAATTTATTTCATTTAATAGGAATCTCAGTAAAATCTGAAATACATGTATCCATGCAAATAAATTGAAGTATCTGTTTGTAATTTTGAAGTTCACCAGTTACAACAGCTTTTCAGTAAATGCATACATATATAAGGTAAGATAAATGACATAAAAAAAAATATATATTTGTCTGTCCGTTTGTTTGTTCTTGCTAATCTTTGAAACAGCTGGACCAAATTTGAGGGATACTTTCACTGTCATATGTAATGAGTTGTGTAAAGGAGTAACAAGTTGCTTTTATTTGAGATATTTTATTTATTTTAACAAAAACTAGGTATGCCATATGGACAAAGTCATAGGTAATAACTAGTATATAATAAAATTATCATATCCCTTTAATTATAACTACCAATAAAAGACATAAATAATGTACCTATATCATTTATTATAAAAACAAATAATTAAAACATTGACCTATTAACAATATTATTATTTATAAATGTTTCAATTTCTTAGTTCCACAACTAAACAACATGGGTTTGTCTAGCAGCTAGACCTTCATTTAGTTCTCTATAAGAGCTCAAAGTACATGTAGGCATCTAAATCTAGAAGCCCAATTGTGCTCTCAATGATATTCCATGTTCTTACAGTGTAATATGCTTCTTGTGGTCCTGGTATAGCATTTGAGATGGGAGTATACTTCTCTAAAGCATATCCTGGATCTCCTAAAAAAAAAACAACATATTATATACTATAATATTAATATTTATTTACAAAAAGTATTATTTCATTAAAAACACAGCACAATAACTGTTGGTGCTGATAAATAACTATGTTTCTAAATTACTGAAGTTTAGAGCTTAGATGTAATGATGTTTGTAGTTTCATAATAAAATTTTGTGCTTACCAAGTAATCATAAGGATTTATTCCAGCTTAAGTCCTCTAGATGTTGCTTAATGCCTCTGGTTTGCCCAAATGTCATGAGTAGCTCCAGTTCCAGTTGGCATCCACACTTATAATCTCCATGTCAGCATTACTAACCTAAATTTTTTTTCCAGATTAATTACATAGATGAAGATTATTTGAAACATAAGAGAATAATTAATGGATAAATATTATTTGAAACATATGAGATTAATTACATGGATACAGATTATTTGAAACATATGTCTAAGTGTTATGGTCATTTAATATTTAAGTAAACAATTTATTGTTAGTATATAAGTAGCTTTAGAGATGTATAATCATTAACATATTTTGCATGTCTAAAATCTTGTTTATTGTTAATTTATATAATTATATTAAAAAAAGATATTAAAAGTGCTTATATTATTAAACATGTCTTTTAATTTATATTTCACTTACCAATTATATATTTAATGAATGGTATTGTTTTCTACAGTAATATCTCTTCTTAATTTACAATGGGGTGGCATGTGTACAGTCAAATACAGCCCAATACACCCAGCATTCCAAATTCCAATTATAAAACCTAAAATATAATTAATTTAATTTAATTAATTGTCCTCGGAGGAAAGTGCCGGAGAGACTGCACATCATCAGACTGTTGCATACTTGTATACTTGCTTTCTAGGCTTTACTTGTATGCATACATTTTACCATATATATTATCACTATATCATATGGTATGGTACATGGTACTCATAGATGTATTTGCAACAATAACAGTTGCTAATTGTATAGAAATAGATACCTTTGAATATTTATTATCTATCCTTTACTCAGATGTCCTTGGAATTTTATATATGTATTTACTTTTGGATGTTGGGTAAATGCAATAAATCGGTTATTTGCCATTGGCTGTGCTAAAGAATGAACAGCAATATTACTAATAGGCCGTTGATAAATATGCCTGTAGCATAAATAATAATCCTACTAAAACCTGACATAGTCAGCTAGTGATTTAGTGAAATAATTACAATACATTATACCTTAGTTTCCACTGGTAGGTCTGTAAATTTCGATGATACCGGCATATGAGTTCGCACGCATATTACGCACCAAATCTTTATTTAGATTATAACGTTTTCTAAATTGTTCATTTTTATTGGATTGGTCGCGTAATCGCCGTCTTTTCACTTTCCTTACTTCTTTTTCGTAGGGTGCACACATTTCCAAAAACTCCAATACTTCGAGTTCATCACACATAATTAAAATTAAAACGAAACAAAAACAATCGAAATAACTGCACAAACATGTTTTAAACATAATAAAAACTGACATAGAAATAGAAATAATAACCAAATTACAATAATGAAGCTATAAATTAGAAAACAATTCTATAAAAGCTAATATGAAGCCACCGTAAACTGAATTGTTTTTAAACGGTCTTTTTGACAGTTGTGTCCGCTTAGATCTGTCAAATGAAACGCTCATAATACGAAATAGCCGGTCAGTTTTCGGGCAGAAGACGTTCAGCTGTCACGTGACCGCTGACTGGCTGGCTAATAGCGTTCGTAATACGAAATCGCCAGGCAGTTCAGTTTAAGCCGTAAACTGAATGGGAATAAGAGTTCATAATACGGCCCCAGAACATTCATTCATATTCATATCCCTAGTCTTAAAATAGTTCGATGGAGGCGGATTTCCATGTCTATGCCAATCATGTCCAGTTAATTGACCCTGTATAGGTCTTTCCCTAGCGACATAATGGCTTACACCACTCATGGGTTTAGGCCCTTGAGTTTGCGGAGCTTGCCTTGAAGGTAATTGAAATTTATTAAATTGAGGGTTATAATTTGGGGGTGTTGACCTAAATATCTGCTGTGTGCGTGAAGGTATACCTGGAGGTCTGTATTGTACAGGCTGGTTAGGCGGATAACTAGCTTTCCATGGTTGTTGCATGGGCGGTGATTGCCACTGATGCAAAAGAGGTGGTCGTACTAAGGAATTGATCGGCTTATAAATAGGCATAGTACTAGATGGTAAGGCCAAAGAAGACGGTTTAGGTAGTGGATTATGCATATGTGCCTTTTTATCATTATTTTCATTACGGCCTTGCAAATAAATGACGTTCAATTCCTCTTGTACAAACTCGAGAGCTTTCTCGACATTATCAGGACGCATGCAACGTATTCTAGAACCTAATGGCTCTTTTAAGCCTCGAACAAATGCATCTTTAGTTAGTTTCCTATATAAAATACGTTTCGCCTCGACAGTAGTGCTAATAGTTTCGTGCAAAGTCACATAAGTCATTATAGTGCTGAACATGTTAACGCAATGGTCATAAAATTCCTGTGGAGACCTATTTCCTTGTGTAGCTAACATAAGATCATTGTAAAGAGCGGTCTCGTCTCTTTGATCCGAAAAATTATTAATTAAATCTTTTCTAATGCTATCCCAATTCTCAGATAATCCGTTAGAATTTACTATGCGCGCGGCTGGTCCAGTTATTTTATTTAAAATAGCATTTACAATACATAAATTAACAAACTCGTTGCCAGGATTTTCCTTAATACAATACTCATTAACAAATTGGTCACAAAGACGGATAAATCTAGGTAAGACGTGAGGATTACCATCAAATTCAGGTACTAGGCGCATGGCCTTCAGAATATTATCTACGTCACCCATATTACTATATTCCGACTCCTCGGACACTGATTCTAAAGTTAAATCTCTATTTCTATCTAAATTGAGCCTACGGGATAGTCTATCGCGCGCAGGCCCTCTAGGGGTGATTTTCCTAGGGTGGAAAATGGTTGCAACTAAACTATATAACTATTCACTAAATTTTACACCTTGAGAGCAACTTTACAGGAAAAATGTATAGTGTACTCACATGCGCTGCATATTGGTAGTTCTAGGATCGATGTCTTGATTTCTCTTCCAGCCAGGAAACTTCAGGTTCTTCTTTCTGGATACTCGTGGACGCGAATCGCTCGCGACGACGATAGCGATCATAGACGACACGGTAATCGATGTGAGATATACCCTATTTCTATTCTCGATACGTCTCGAGTATCCTACCGACTGCGCCAGTTATTGAAGTCGCTGGCGGAAGACCCAAAAAAAACCAATTTTTATAAGCAAACTAAATTTAATTCTAAAAATTAATTATTACAATTATATAGGTGTCTTCGGATCGATGTGTGATCCGTAAGTGCAATTATATAAAATTAAAAATCAGGGAAATGGGTATTATTGCTGTGGGGACTAAAATGCTGATTCGACGCAGGTGGTTTTCTCGGTAGCGCACCTTCTTGCGTCATGCTTGGTGGTCCGATCCGATCGCCGTTGAGGATGTGTCGTAATACTTGCTAGGTATCTACTATAACAAGTCTATAAACATTCTTAAAATTAGCCTCTACTAATGTTGTCGTGAAGAAAGCACACTCCGGATCCACTGCATCGATTTGAGAAATTCTTTCTTTATTTGAAGTACATTATTCCAGGGCGCTATATAATCATATATTGTTATACAAAAATAAACAAACATATAGAGCGTAAAATTTACAATGAAAATTAGAAATGCAGAGGTAATTATACAAAAAGTACAGTCGGTAATTAACTTTTTTACGGAAAATGTTTAAAATGAAGATGCAATGCACATTACATTGCAGTGTAGTGTAGTGTTTACACTACTACCATATAAAAATAAATAGGGGAATACATTGTTCCGTTGTTCATTGGTATTCTGTCGTGATACGATATCAATTCAATTTACACTTGATACGTTGATAACTTAAAAGCTTTGTTGAGATCGAAACGTGACACGTTAGTACATTTATGCCACATTTACGAGTAGCTTGCGATTACGCCCTTGTTACATGTCTTCTTCTCAGTCGATTCCTCAAGGCTGAGTGTAGTAACTACTAGAGTTGCATCTCCAAATAAAGTCTGTTAAGTTTCTAAATTATGACCCGTATAGGTCACATAATAATTAAATGTTCTATTAAATATAGTGACATTTTGTATATAGTTTCTCTACAGGTTAGGTACCCTAACTTTGGCCGTATCTTCTTCTTTGTAATTTACGATTGGATTTTATCCAGATTATTACCTTTATAGATACTGCTCTCAATACAGAAATGAGTTTTCATATCCAGTTCCTCCTTTACATACATTGGTGTGATCAACGCATACGAATATCGATATAAAACGAAGGTGCCTTTCGATTTAGAGATAAACCTGAAACCTTTTTGGGTAAAATTTTATTATCTAGATCTTTCAAATAATAGAAGCACATAATATTGTACAGTAGGGTTTGCAGTCAGATTTTTTAGTAATTGTAAAAAGGTAGAAAGTAAACGAACTTCAACTTTTTTATATCTTCATATATTTAGGTCTCTAGTAATTTTACTATTGGTTCAAAGATAGAATAGAATAGAAATTCATTTAATCAAATATTCAACTTACATTGCAGCATTGACTCAATCAATTCAAAAATAAAACGTAGAATCAACAAATATAAGTATTCACAAATTTTGTTATACTAAAGGTTAGTTATATCTACTCAAGAAATCTAGGGAATTAGAACCATTTCCAATTTGACAAGGAAAGGAAGGAATATGTTGTACTGTATTGAAAACATATATAGGACTAATTAAATTTCATCTGAATATAAAGTTTTTTTTTCATCACTATTATGTAAACACGTTTGTTTATAAAAAAAAATGTTTGTTTTGTCTAAAACTACATTTACTACTTAGAAAAACTACGCAACATACAGTTTTTAGTATAGAAAGCAGTATGTAATTGTGTTACAAAGTATTTCCCAACATATCCGTCACATTCCTGCCACAAACTGTATAGTTACGTAAGCACGTTTCTTTAGGAAAAATAAACTTTTTCTCAACAAAAGACACTAAATTTGGAAATACTGCGTAGTACACAGTTTTTTAGAAAATAAACACCGAGGTAGGCTTTCTAAAATGTAGCCTGCGTGAGTACATCTATCTCGATTATTTCAGCCGTTAAGCAATTAGCTTTGTAAATTGTATCGGACAATGTAATTGCTAAGTACGGAGGTAATACATCTTATTCCTTCTAAATTCCAATGCATAAATGGTATAATAGGCGTGACATGATAACGTGATATCCGTAATGTTATTTAAACGTACAATTAGGAAATAATAAAACTCAACGATGATCTGACGGGAAGTCAATAAAAGTAAATAAAACATGGTAAGATCCCGTGATTTTTCCGCCATCTTGTGTGCCATTCCAATTAATTAAAAAAACAGTGCCCAAGTTACAAAGTATTCGCAATAAAACATACCCGTCTTGGAAAGAGCTTGCATCTCTATTATTCAGCATAGCAATTACTACGATTAAAAGGAGAGTAATGACTAGTAAATATTTAACGCTTCCCATGAGTAAGCTGAACGGAAAATTGTTAATCCAAGGGGAACATCCACATAATTTAGACAGGAAAAATATAGGGACATGTTGATCGTTCCCATTGGTACACTCGGAGAAATACGTTGTATAAATGTTATCTCGTTTATCAGAGGACACAGAACATTATTTAGGGAGATAGGACAGCCTAGCAGAGATGCCATCGTGTAGACTATTATGCTAAAGGAATTTGAACTCTATGTATTTTGCGCTGACCACAATTCCATGTTTAAATATTATCTTAATCCATATTATAATATAACAAATGCAATTGTTTCACGACTAAACTGTTGAACATTATTTTAGTTAAAGCGGGTCTTCTCCCAGATAATCATGTTAAGTAGTAAATAGTATGTTAATATGAAAATCTCTGATCAAAATTGTGTGTATACCAAATTATATCATAATAGAATAAACAGTTCAAACCCCATGAAGTAACACAAAAATAAAAAGTATATATATGGATAAATTATAGGATAAAGAAATTTATCTCTATACACAAAGACAACACGATTAAGCACAAAATTATGTCAACCCTTATATATCTACTAATTGGCATTCAAGTTGACCAATAGACTTTATATAGAAAAGATTGACCCAATCGATGGCCACTAATACTCTAATAGTTAAACTGCGTCAAGATCATTCAATGTTTATATAATATGAGTACTTAGAATTCTTTTTGGAACGAAAAAAATATTCATCAACTTATTTCATTCCACATGCTTATTACTTAAATAGCCTGACAGCTCACCTTAGGGTAAGAAACGGTTACAACCGTTGCTTAATTACATGAATAGCACCATGTGTGAATGTGATACTTTTTGGTCCACTACACGCGGTAATTATGTGACGTATTGTTATTCCTAATACTTTGCCATTTAAGGACTAAGGTATCATGCCGCTAGCAGTGGGAAAACAACATACACAAATTCTCGGAACAGTGAGGCCTCTCTGTGAAGCCTGTGAATACTCCAGGAGGTTTATACGCTTATGGGAGGAAGTTGATGGCCCAGACGAGAAGCTAACTACGTATAATAGAGTCCAACTTACATTACATTATATCATGCCTCTGTAATTTAATTGCCATTTCGATTGAAGGGTGAAATACCCTTCAACCAAAACGAAGCAAGCTGTTTGGCGACTGAAATGGGTGAGACAGAGGTCAAATTAGGTTCGCGATATAGGTAAA